ACGTAAAGATACAGATGACATGAAATATTCAATTCCACCGATAACAGCTTCTTTTTCTCTATTCCTTGGTTCTGAGGATAAACTCGAATGGTTTATGAGACTTATCGCAATCACGGATTTTCTTTTCGTGTTGAACCTGACGGTTACGCGCAGAAATAATATTTTCGCGGAGGAAATTGAAAGGAAATATTTCTTCAGAAAAGCCGGAATGAAAAAAAAAAATCACCATCGATCCGGGGACGGGATCTATGACTTTTGGGAGAGACAACTGGCCTTTTGTAAAATAATATCGCGGATTTTCATCAACCGTTGATTTCTAATATGCAATGGAAAAAATATTCTTCGCTAAGGATTTATTTACTTGATAGAAATATGTATGCTGGTTATGACCTTGAATACACCTGATTAATGATGGATATTAAGGATGTTAAACACCCTTTCCCCAAAAATTCGTGTTTTTCTATTTTTTTTGCAAATTATCGATGGAATTGATGTGGATAAATATAAAATATATTTATGGGTTTCATCATTACTGAATTATTCACTAAGTATCAAGGTGGGGCAAACATTTTCTTGTGTTTTTTCTAAACTCTTGAGAAGAATCATAAAACAGCAGAGAAAACACATGAAAATGATTGAACCACAAAATTTCGCGAGTCATTAAATAATGACTAAAGGCACGCCCTTGCTATTTATCCACGTCAATTTCATCGATAGTTTCTAAAAAAAAAATATTTAGCCTGAATTTTGATAACGATATAGAATAGCCTTGAAGAATTCCATCAAATTTTTCTCCTTAGGAAATTCGTTATTTAAAGAAAATTAATAATAATCGGCGGAGTTTATCCACGGACAAATCCCACGCAGTCATCCTGCAATAAAGAAAATCCGAAAGTAAAGCAATGTGATAATTATTATCGGAATTTATTTGGAATTGTTTGGAAATTATTCAATTAGAGAAATGATGTTTTAAAAAGATAACATACTTCCCTCAAGTAATTCAAGGATTCTTGGCAAAAATCTTTTTGTTCCTCAGTGAATTCACCACTTAAATACGTTTTACAACGCCCAGAGGTATCAAAAGAGTAGAACTAAAAATGGCTTTCAACCCTGGGTTAAAGTGATAACTTTTATGAGAGGAAAGTGATTTTTTTTTATAAAATCGACATTTTTAATCGGCCAACCAGTGATTTCGAACATATACCTCATAGACAGTATTGGAGTACCTAAAGGTGTCTCATAAAGAAAAATAAATAAACTCAAAAGCGACAATCTCCAAAGATGCATTCTAAAAATAATTCCCAAATAATTGAACATGATTTACCCAAGAGAAAAAGCCCACATCTCAATAAAACCTCAAAATAGGCTTTTATTAATTCAAAGCGAAGCGCGGTCTTGACGCGTGTAATTAAGGATTAATTAAAGCGGCATTTGAGACAAGATGAAGTAATTTAAGGAGGGCAGAACGACGCCTAAGAACTAGGAAAAAAGAAATCGAGAGAAAGTAGCCAAGTAGTTGACTAACCGCTCGCGTTATTTCAGTTCTTTTTATTTCAAGTTGAAGAGGGACGATTTTTAGCAGCTGCACAATGACCTCATCTTGACGTATGAAAACATGTTTGTTGAGTATCCTTTAGCGTGAGGACAAACGAACCGCAATTCGCCTTTACTCTTAACTGCTCTGAGAATTAATTGGCGGAGTGAAATTTTATGAAGGAATTTAACGCCTGCATAACACTTCTCTCTCATTTTCTTAGATTCAAACTAAGCAAATTTCTTCATTTACCCATCCATATTGTTTTTACTCCTTTATCCCACATCTTCCTTTTCCCATGCTCATAGCGTCAAATAAATATCTATTCTACCAACTCTTCGCCAGCTTCTGGGGCTCACGATCTCCTGAGAAATTTCCACAGCGTAGGGTCCAACCAAACTTTCTGACAGCCCCGATAACTCGCGTGACAAACATGGTAAATGAGTACATTCATCTGATACTCCATTTTCAATGCAAAATCGACAGGTGAACTCATACATCATGAAACTATTTGAAACAATTCAGACATTTGGCTCCACGACAATTTATCTTCGACAAAATGTATTGTAAGATCTTATCCTGTAGATCAAATTATTTCCAAATAATTCTGTTCCTAAGCTAGACAAATTTATTCACACTAGAAATATCTCTAAAACAATAATACACTCACACCAACATGTCTTATGCCAAAAATATACTGGACATGATCTCGATATAAAATTACGGTTCACCAAAAAATTAGGGGAAAAAATGAAAAAATGTTTGTTGCAACAAAAAATGAGATTCTAAAAGAAAATCTTAAAATCAATTTTTAAAAATGCATCAAAGATATTTAGAAAGGAGAAAAAAAAACAGACACATTTCAGTGGGTGTCTAACAGAGAATGAATCCGGGAATATTGACTAAAGCCGAAAAGATCTTTTCAGCGAATGTAAGATGATTACCAAGTAAAATTATCCGAAAGATAAACCTGGAATACAATCACACAATACATCTTGACAAAAGATAAAATGACGGATAAGAAGTAATAAAAAAAGTAAATAAGAAGTAATGGACCAGAGAAAATAGGGATATGCAACACGAATTCTCCTAAAATCAGAGATATTAAACCGTAAGTTTAAAACGTAAGATTTCCAAAGTAGCTAGACTTTCTTCAATTTAAGAGAAAAATTCTCGTTGAGAGAATGAAGAAGACGATCCCCAGGGATTCTGTTAAGAATTATGTGGGTTTTTGGATGAATCTGAGAGTAGAGGACTGAGTGAAGAGGTCTCGGAGGTGTAGAAACTAACCG